TACATCTCTGGTCCTATTCCCTTATGTGGTGGATGTTTTAGCAGACTTCCGTTGCTACACACTTGGCTCTCATCAGCTTGTGCCACCCATACTGGTTCATACAAGGCAATTCTAACCTCTTTTGTTAATGCAGGAAACTATTTAGAAGGTTCAGGCTAGGGAAGGACTCAAATGCAGACTCAGACAGACATTCAGTATTTAGTTGATTTTAATATAACGGACATGGAACAAAGACACCAGTAGTACAACTAAAGGTGTTCAACCTGGAAAGGCAAGACAGAAAACTAACAACTAAACAAAGTAAAATTAAAGAGAAAGTTCACCACAAACCAAGAACTGAGAGTAGAAAGCAAGAGTCCAAATCCTTAAAGTCTATAAACAAGGCACAAGAGGTGAGAGTCCAAAAACCTACCGGAAGCAAACAAAATAAAAGGCAGAAACAACAGGAGCAAGCAGGGTGTGGTGAACACATAACCTAGATAGGAGAATATAAAGGCTTGAGATGTCCAGACAATGAGCAACAGGTGAAAGCAATGAGTGTTAATCAAAGACCAGAGTAAAGCTGAGGCAGGTGAGATTACAAAAACAGGAAACTCTAACAAAATAAAAGTCCCAAACAGGAAAAAAGTCTAAAACCCTAACAACAATGGCGTTCATCCTAATTGGTTGGGGGCAAAACTTATCTGGAAACATTCCATATGTGTCACCCACTCAGGTGTTTGTTTTACTCAGACAGCCAAAGCATTTCCCCAACATCTACTCATTTTGACCAGTCCAACTACAGTTCTATTGATGTCCTCAAGGTATTTGCAGCAGTTTTTTAGTTCCTCATGGATTTCTACTGCTGTTCCTGTAGAACCAGGACCCCTCCAGAAACCCAAAACATGTTCCCAGGTACATTGAGATGTGCAGTACTCCTCCATCACCATAAACACTCCCCTTGCACTCTCCAGCATACCTGCATGAGTGGCTACATTTCCGCCAATACTGCCACACTTGCCTTAATGTCAGAACTTTTACAAGTATTATACATTTATACATAAATAAACAACCTCCTAAAGCTGCTGACAAAAACACAGCCCATATCTCAAGTAAATAAAGTATTTCTGTTTTTAATATAATAATATTAACTAACAAATATTTCAGTATTAATGACCTTATTACCGGTCATGAGCTGTTTGTTTCTGATCAAAACTTGCCGGGTTATGGCTATGGACTATTGTAACGCTCAATCTACAAAAGTTACAAGTTAGTTACAATAGTTTCAGAACTCTGCTGCCTGAGTGTTGCTCAGGACTAGAAGGAGATAACACATTGCACCTGCCTTAGTGTCTCAGTGTCCAATTTTATTGAGTCTTTTATGCTGTATATTTTAATTACCAACTTTTTGTGTACATCAGTGTTTTTGTTTTGTTTTTACATTATTTTTATTGTTCACATGTATTGTCAGTCTTCAGTAAAGCACTTTTGAATTGCATGAAAGTTTTTCAAACCTCATGTTTTTGTTACATGTATGGTTTGTCATTATTTGTAGGTAATTGAATATTGAAATTCAAATTGCTACATATCAAATTCATTTTACATGATAGAGGTTATCAGTGGAGGATTTCAACCTAAACTTTAGGTAAATGTTATGCTTTACAAACAGTATCTTTACAGCAAGGTCCTTTTGGGTTTAGAGTTCATCACACATTCGAGCCATAGCCAGAAGGCTAGCCATCTCTTTTGCAGATGACTGGTAGATTTTTCACAAAACACTGTGCTTATTCACTGTACAGCAACTCAGTCTTGATCAGACTGGCTTCTCTACATAGTAACATAGTATGTCATTTTTAATATTGAAACCAATTTCATGACAGTACTAAGTTCATACATGCCATTACTGTGAGTTAAAGGCCCCAGTGGTGGCTCAACAGTCACAAACAGTAAAAATGGGTTTTAAGTTAGGGGCATGCCTGGCTCCACATGAGCACACACATGCTGGCACACAGAAAGACAGGGGAGTCTGGTGGCTTGTTGCTGTGCCTGTTACACATGCTAGTGGCAGGGAGACAGGCTTGGAGGTTGCCAGTCTGACATACAGAGGTGCTCTTAGGAGTGGAGTCAAATGAACACCAGCCACCAGACAAAACCCAGAGAATGATTGGTGTTACTGGCAAGTTTGTTGACCACAAGCCTTGTTAGGGAGCTATCCATAATCAGCGTAGTCTATTCTGGGCTAGAAATCACCTCTGTCAGTATATATTTGGGGATTTGTATATTTTTGTGGCAGACATAAAAGGTTTCTTGTATAAGGCAGTGCCAGTGGGCTCAAGAGTGCTCCGGGTCCCCTGAAAATATTGGTCTAAAATAAGCCATGCCATTTCATTGTGGCCCTCAGACATTCTGATGGTCAGCTAGTAGCTGTTTTATATGGAATGTAAACCCTCAGTTCTGCAAGCATCTTTTTTAACCTTTACCCCTTTGAGCACTTGCTTCTTAGCTATTAGGTGACCTGTGACAGCTATGCGCAGCAACGTCTTCAGCATCTTCCTACTTTATTATTTAGTATTGAATGTCTCACATGTTGTTATATGATGGAATAGACAGATGCTTGTTGGTGTTAAAACACAGTCCTACCTTGAGGTGTTAGTGAGCTGCCCTAGGCTACCCTCCAGCCAGCTTTTGTTGCAACGCTATCATCACTCCGGCTCTCCACCAATCAAAATATCACCTCAGCTTGGCTTCATGTTTGTTTTCATACCCTGCTCCTGCACATGGTCGGAAATGTTTATATCTATCTGTAGTAAAATATACAAAGCTGAGTTTGGGGTCTGGGGACCAGAAATGGGGTTATCAGGTCCTCCTTGTCCTTTCGTTCACCTCTGGATGCGGCCTGGGTCAGGAGAACATCTGTGGTCAGCATCAGGGTGAGAGAGATGGAGGCTGAAGACAGCTATTGTCATCAAGGGGTAAACAGAGGAAAAGAGGGAGCCGATTAGTGCTAACATGGGTACAAACATAAAGAGCTTGAGTCTAGTTGAGGCTGACTGGAGCCAAGCTTGACCAGTAAACAACCAGCGGGGTTTCTAAATGGCCTGGAGATCAGCCTGGGGCTAAACCTGAAGGCCTCTCTCAGCACTGGGTCTTTGAAACACAAGAGCGTACGTACAGACACTCTGGCGCGCAAACACTCATGGATAGGAGGCTTGGTAACACCTTCACATGACTAGAGGCACACGTATAAATTAAGAAAGAACAAATGTGGAGACACATACACACCCAGAAATGTACAGGCAAATCCCCAAAGCTGTTGTAGCTTGTGTTTTTAACATGTTTAATGGAAGAGGTGAGTAGACTTGAATGTGTTAGCAGGTGTTAGTGTCTCACTGAGTTGGGAGAAAAACCTTGTTGATGAGTTTTGGTCATCAATTTATAGACTCTAGTACACAACAAAGTGATGTTGTACAAACAAGATTGATTTATTTATACTTTATTTAGTTTAACCACAGTTTATTTGTAGTAAATTCATGTTTTACTGAGTGTATTTTAATTTTGGTTTTGCACAGTTAGTACAACTTCACTGGCCTGCACTATCTTGCTTGTTCTGTTCCCAGCTTTTGGAACAACTGAAGCAAATGCTGAAGCACTCACTTGCTCTTCAGCACTGTGTTTGAAACATTCAAACACTGCTACACAGCCAGCATGGCAATATGTTGTCTATCAGCTTAGATGGTGATGCAGTCTGAATGCACTTTCTGGTTCTTAGTCTGCCACTCATCTCAGGAGGACAGGGTTGATCTAAACCGAAAGGTACAGTTTCCATAGGCAGTACAGCTGGCCCCGTTTCCTCCTGGTCACAGTAATCTTTGGTGTCTCCTCTGAGTCAGGTGTAATCAGTCACACACCACCACATGTTTTGACACCTGTCCTGTGTGGTGTGGAGGAAGTAAGCATATTACTCTGTCTGAAAATCACACTCCTCTCCTTTGGAGACGCACGCACAGGCAATCAAACCTATCTTCACTTGAATTAAGACAGACAGGTGGATTGTCAGAAAGGGATTAAAAAGGAAGAGGAGAAGAAATGAAGGTTCCCTTACATTGTGGGTTTTTTTGAAAAGAAGGCCGAATGACTGGGGATGCAAGTGACTGTTAATGGGAAGAAATGAACGCACTTCAGTGGTGGATGTGACAGGAAGAGACTGTTCTTAACAAGGCGTCAGAATCAGTCAAAGTTATAGATCCATCACTTCTCAGAGGCTGAGAAAAGGAGGGGGAGATATTTAGGGATATTCAGAGAGGGAGAGAGTCTGTGAAGGGTAGAGAAGAAGAAGGAGACGGTAAGGGGAAAGAGGGATTTGAGCGTGGCTGACAGCACTGCATTTAATTTGGGCTGCCAGATCCTTTTTCATTTGACTCCATCTCAACCAGCTTAGAGGCTGTGGAGGACTTGGAGGGGAAGGTTTGCCAGAATGTCTCAGATTAGCACTGATGTGCCACGTCACACTTTAAGCCGGCCTGTAATTCATGTTCAACAGGGGGATACTCACATATTACACTATGCTGTGCAGAACGTGATTAATTGACTCACACTCTAATATTGGGTGTAATTTGGCCATCCTCTGATGTGAAACTGACTTCATACTAGACTTACTGTATGCCGCCAACCCAGGGATGTTATAATGGAGTCTTGGCTCAGAGGAGTGTTAATTTCTAAACAGGGGATGCTAGCTCAGAGATGAAGCTTCAGGTAGTCTGTCTTTGCAGTTCCACACAGTTTAATATTTAGGAGATGATTTAATAGAACCAAATAGTTTTGATATATCTTACTTAAGCTTGTAGTGGAGGACAAACTAATCAATATCATTTAACCCACTGTTTTAAGAAGACAGTTTTGATTTGTATTGCAAATGGATGTTACTAAAAAGAAGACACGTCTAAGTCATACAGTGTTACATACATTTCATTTAGTTTTACTTGATGCATTTATTTTCTACCTCTGTTTCTTTTTTTTTCCAGACTATGCTTTTCCTGGCTACAGTGGAGGAGGAAGGCCAAGCAGGGGAGGGAAGGAGGGAGATGGCAGAAACCCTGTTGTCTGCCTTGACAGACAGACACCAGCAAAGACAGACATGGAGAGACAGGTAACAGGGTGCCTCCACATTTGTTCCCTCCATTGGACATAAAAAAAACAACCTTTGACAGATGTCTGAGACAGATAAAGTAAAGCACTCTGTGAAGCAAGAACACTTTCTCATATTCTAAATGGAAACGCCCATCAATACATATAAATACATATAATATATGTGTGTGTGTGTCTGCGTTTGGGAGTGCAAATGTATGAATGAGCAAATAGTGTAAAACGCTTTGAGTGTCCTTCAATGCATAGAAAAGTGCTGTAAAAGTACAAGATGATTTACTATTGAAACATTTTCATTAGAAATAGACAATAGGCAAAATTTGCAGCACTTGCATGCTTTTTGTGAAACCATTAAACTAATGGTCATAATTAGCCCTTCTAGTGAGTGAAACTGACTAAGAGAAACTATGGGGCTCAGGCTCACACCCATTTCACAACATATGCAAACAGCATGCAGTACATTTACTCAAAGTACATTTTACTGAGATTTCGCTCACTTTCATCGAGTGTCCTTTGACAGTGATCCCTTCTAAAGAGCTAATGTGAATTCCACAGATATGCAGTGGTGTAGTTGGTGTAGTTGTTTGTGGTCCATGGGCCTGGCAGCTATCATGGCTATCACAACAACACATGTGTCTTGGATAAGCCTAGTCACTTCCTTCCTTCTAGATAAGGGCAGAGAGTGCAGGGATTAGAACACTGGCTGTTCATTCAAATAAAGAAGGACCTCACACACACACACCCACACATGCTGTGTTTTCATTCCTTGTGGGCACTTTACATTGAATTACATTCATTTCCTGTAGACTTATCCTAACCTTAACCATAACCACCACTCGCCTAACTCGTACCCTGACCTTTATACCTAACTTCATCCTAACCCTAAACTATGTTGCCACCCTAAAATTCAGTGATTTCCTTGTGGGGACTAGCTTCTGGTCTCCACAAGGATGGCCAAGTCCCCACAGTGTGAGTGTGTTAATAGGTTTCGGTCCTCATGATGTAAGTAATACAAAGGCACACACAGCACACTGTTATTTTAGCTGTTCATTCTCTCAGTCACTCTGCTCCTCAGCACTAGCAGGGACACACACAAACACTGGCATTCATGTATACAATAGATCAGCATTCACACATTTTTCTCTGCTTATTGTCAACAGATTTGAGCTCAGTGTCACATATACACAGACACACACTTGACCAGACATGATCCAGGGCCTAGAGAGAGCCCATGTGCCGGGGGGCACAGTCCACAGACTAGAAAATTCTAAACACAACATCTTTTCTTTTGAAAGATATATGTTAACTTCCTGTCGTGTTGCTGCCCTCATCTTTCCATGGCATACCTCTGTTTTGAGTTGTCCCCTCTAGTTGACCCTTAACTCTACCCCATCCAGATGAGCCTTGTAAACAGGCTGTTTCCACACACCTTGCTTTGTGTGTCGACGCCTGCCGCCTCACAACTCAGATGTAGGGCCTGCTGTGATAGTGCATTCCAGCTGCAGGTGCTGAAAGCTAGAAACCATCTTGCCACACCCACCCCCCATCCGAATATCAGCACTGTCCCCCACTATTTTGGTTCCCCCTCCTCCTACAGTGCTGCGTTACTGTTAACTGTGTATATGTTGTGTGGGTTCTTAGCTTGTTTACTTTATTTATTTTTTATTGATAGGGTTTATGTGATTGGATGGGCAAGGCACTGTTAGGATGGCTTTAAAATTTCGTTGTACGTGTTACAATGACAAATAAAGTTTAACTTAACTTAAACTTAACCCACCCTAACATATTGACAAGTAGTTTCAGAGAGCAGGACAGGAAGTGCTCAGTCCTTGTTGGCAGGGCAGACGTTGACTCTATCAGCAGTGAAAGAATGATTAGATTAGTTTTGGTGGAGGGCAAGCATCCCACTCAATACGTTTGAACTCCAACTGCTCCCAGTACCTCACTTCCCCTTTAGACACATCTAATATCTATCTCTAACCTCAACAAAAGCCAGAGGTCATCCTGTCAAGTGGCTGTCAACAGATAGCATTTACACACAACTAAAAACATGGCTTTGTGCAGTGTTAAGTGGGATGTACTGGTACTGTTCAGAGATTTGCATTTGAGGGTTCATGACTGCCTGGCTAGGTCTTTGTGGTGAAAAAAAGAATGTTTGCATTTCTTTGTGCATACTACTGAGAGGTAAAGTCATTGTTTTCAATTAAAGATACAGTATATTAGATAATCAGACACACAGTGAGGGAATTTAGCTCACTTCAGTTCGATATAGTCAAAGCTTCGTTTATTTTCATAACAGCACTCACTAAAATAGGGTTCCTGAAATTAATTTGCTGATTCACTTTACTGTTTTTTGGCATCCTAATTAGGTTTACACACAATATGCAACAGGCAAGCTTTTATCACAACACTGCATTTTGTTTTCATGGTTTTCCTTCAGTACATAATGCCTGCAAAAGGATGGAATAAAAAAAAAAGCATGATTGATGATGCTGGCTAGAGGCACGTAAACATAAACAACCAGTGCTGATTGATTATGTTTCTTGCTGACTTTTGTATCCTAAATACCAGTTAAAGCAGCACGTTGGTTGCTGGAAAGTGGGCCTGCTAGCTGCCATTTTTTGTCTCCAGAGCATTTTTAGTACCACCAAGAAGGAAGAAAGAGGAATTGGACCAGTGCTTCTTCACAAGTGACTTATAGGCACTCAGAGTGAGTGATGCCTTGATTCGCCCTGCTAGCAGAAGCAGACCATTCATTCACTCTGAGCCAACAAAGTTATGAGAGCTTTTTTATTCTTATGAGCTTTTCTGGTAACTGGGTTTTCCCGATGCACACAGTGAATTCTTTGATAGATGCTGCCCTCTGTGTCCCTTCGGTAAATGCCCCATGAGTACCCTGGAAATAGATGGATTATTACAGAATGTGGGTGGGTGACTGTATCATAGTAGAACAGTTGAATGTTCCACACAGGAAGTGCATATTGGAGAACAAGACATAACCTCCAGGGAACAGGTCTATTAGAATAGGAAATAGCGCATCCCACTGGCACCAGAACTGGAATTTTCAGGCTCTGAGCATGCATACGCCTCGTTTCAATCTTTGTAAATACAGGTGAATAAGGATTTAAAGTGGGAAAATCTTCCATTGTTTTGCTTTGAACAATGTTATTTATATTTTAACTTACTAACAGTTGTTGTGTGATGTGATGCTATCTTGAATAGGTATGCTTACAGTATGGCTACCTTTGAACATCCTGGATAAGGTGACCTCAAGCTGACCTTCTGGAGCCTAGAGGTCACTACTCTGACCAATAGGGGGTGAAAAAGCTTTGTCACAGCTGGCAAGCAAACACTGAAGGGAACAGCTGCGAATTCTGTACTGACCATGCAAACTGCTGTAGGCTTTGTAAGGTCATTATATGATAATGAAAATCATTACAGAATTACATGGGGGTTTAGGACATGAGAGCAGCAGGGAGGGGAGGGGAGGGCCACATTGGGTTTGATAAATGGACTGTGAAGGTGCCCATCTGGCCTTCTCTATGGCTTTTTCTTCCTGCTCTTTTATCCATTCTTGTCCTTTACTACCCCTCTTTCATTCTCCTCTTCTGTTCTCTAGTGGGCCAGTGTAAAAGCGAGCAGACCTGTAGTCAAAGATTAACAGAGTGCAAACCCAACTCACCTCTGTGGAGGAGAAAAGAGGAGGGGAGACAGACAGAGGTGTTTATGAGCCAAAGCATGGTTTGTGCCTGACTTGGCAAATCCTATCCTGCTGTCTCTCCGTGTGGGCCAGTGGGAGAGTAAGCAACCATTGACCTTTGGCATCGGAAACAGTTGGACAGCTCAGAATGTGTGAATCACTGGAGGCACTTAGGCATTCTTTGTTTAATAGGTTTGGGTGGTAATACGTAATAAGCTTTATAATACCCCTTTGTTACTCATCTGCTCCTCTCCAGATTGCAGAACAAATGCAAACAAGTTTGTTACTGAAAATATTTGAGCTGATGCACTCTTGTAGCAGTGTCGGGTTTAAACCAAGGGAGCTGGTAAATACTGTGGCAGCTGGACATGGAAATACTGTACATCACATACCTCTGAAGGCCCTGGAGACACTGTACATGATGTTGGACTGCAATTATAAACTTAAGTGCCTTTTCTTTCTTTTTGTAAGAGTGACAATTTGTATGGCATAGTATATTTTCTGTTTTTTTGTGATTACTACCGAGTTACAGAGCTAGTTCATTTTATTTTCACATGTTTTAACATTTGCTGTTTTTATTTAAATAGCAACCATTTGAATTGTTTAATTAATTATAGGCAAATGTTCTTTCATTATCTAATTTCATTCTACACCCATTGAAAAGACAAAGACCTGACTCACACCACACAGGACAGGGTGTCACTATAATAGCTGTACACTCAGAATCTGTGGCGTAATACATCTGTTGCATTTGTTTATTGCATTTCTTCAACTTGTTGAGAGTTACTGAGGTCTTTATCTCAATACAAAGGCAATGTCAGCTGACACTGCAAGCAGAGTTAAGGACAGAGAAGGAGGTCCATGCATCCACAGCTGCACTCATCACTTAGCTGTCCAGCTTGACCCATGACCTCACAGGGCTGTCTCCCAGCTTCCATCGGCTTTATGTTTCTCGCCATTGTCATCCTCCCTTGTCCTCACCTGAACAGGGTGCTGCTACACAAAAGGCCCAGTCTGTCATCAAAACCAAGGGTCACTAGGGGCCAGCAGGGGCCATAGAGTCGAGGTTGAAGCTGTGCCCAGCCGGGGATGACCCCACCACTGTTGTCAGCTACTAGTCGCACCCCTGTGGAGATGCATAGTGTCACAGAAAAAGGCAGAGAGAGATCTTCGTCAGCTTGTACCTCATTCCAGGAGTTGTGACATTTCTTTTGTGTTGTCCCTGACAAACCCCACCCTTAATCTTGCACTGGGGAGGGACAAAGAGTTAAGAGTCAATGTAGGGACCCTAACCAGAATAGCAA